CCCCCTCCACAATCCTTCCCCGCCCTATTGTCTGTCCGTGGCCTATGCATATATGCATATAAGTTCATTGGTTAATCTCTTCCCGCCCCCTCCACTTCCCTCTGATATATGTCACTCTGTTCCATGCTTCAATGTCTCTGAATCTTTTTTGTTCATCAGTTTATTTTATTCATTAGATTCCACATATAAGTGAGATCATGTAATGCTTGTCTTTCTCTGACGGGCTTATTTTGCTTAGCATATTACTCTTCAGGTCCCTCCATGCTGTCTCAAAGGATAAGAGATCCCTCTTTTTAACAGCTGCACAGTATTCCACGGTGTAAAAGTACCACAGCTTTTTTATTCACTCATCTACTGATGGGCACTTGGGTTGTTTCCAGATCTTAGCTATTGTAAATAACGCTGCTATGAACATAGGGGTGCATATATTCTTTCTGATTGATATTTCTGGCTTCTTAGGATATATTCCTAGAAGTGGGATCACTGGGTCAAATGACAGCTGTACTTTTAATTTTTTCAGGAAATTCCACACTGTTTTCCATAGTGGCTGCAGCAGTCTGCATTCCCACCAGCAGTGTACTAGGATTCCTTTTTCTCCACATCCTCACCAGCACTTGCTGTTTATTTATTAATGGTATCCATTCTGGCAGGTGTGAGGTGATACCTTATTGTCATTTTGATTTGCAGTTCTCTAATAGTGACATCGAGGACGTTTTCATGTCTCTTAGCCATTTGCATGTCCTCTTTGGAGAAGTATCTATTCAGGTCCTCTGATCATTTTATATATATACATATACATATACATCATATACATATACATATACACACACACACACATATTTAGAAATTAACCCTGTATCAGATGTATCACTGGTAACTATGTTCTCCCATACAGTGGATTCCCTTTTCATTTTGATGCTGATTTTTTTGCTGTGCAGAAGCTTTTTATTTTGATATAGTCCCATTTCTTTATTTTTTCCTTTGTTTCTCTTGCCCCAGGCATTGTATCAGTGAAAATTCCGATACAAGAGATGTCCGATATTTTGCTGCCTACGTTTCCTTCTAGGATTTTTATGGTTTCATGACTTACATTTAAGTATTTTATCCATTTTGAGTTTATTCTTGTGTATGGTATAAGTTTCATTTTTGGTGGTCTAGTTTCACTTTTTTGCATGTACCTGTCCAATTATCCCAACACCATTTATTGAAGACTGTCTTTACTCCACTGTATGTTCTTGCCTCCTTTATCAAATATTAATTGAACATAACAGGTTGGGTCAATTTCTGGGTTCTCTGTTCTGTTCCACTGATAGATATGACATGCCTGTTCATATGCCAGTACCAGGCTATTTTGATTACAGTGGCTTTGTAGCATAGCTTGATAGTTGGTATTGTGATCCCTCCAACTTCGTTCTTCTTTCTCAAGATTGCTGCAGCTATTAGAGGTATTTTTTGGTTCCATATAAATGTTAGGAGTATTTGTTTTAGGTCTGTGAAATATGCCATTGGTATTATGATAGGGATTGCGCGCTGAATCTATAGATTGCTTTGGGTAGGATGGACATTTTAATGATATTAAGGCTACCAATCCATGAACATGGTATATTCTTCCACTTGTTTATATCTTCTTCTATCTCTTTTTGTAACGTTCTGTAGTTTTTCAAGTATAGGTCCTTTGCCTCATTGGTTAAGTTTATCCCTAAGTATCTTAATTTTTTTGTTGCAATGGTAAATTGGATTGTTTTTTAAGCTTCTCTTTCTAAGTTCATTATTGGTGTATAAAAATGAGTGTTGGAGCCCAGCCAAGGAGGCTCGGTGGTTGAGAGTCTACCCATGAAACTAGAGGTCTCGGCTGAATTCCAAGTCAGGGTCCATGCCTGGGTTGTGAGGTCGATCCCCAGTGTGGGACATGCAGGAAGCAGCCGATTGATGACTCACTCTCATCATTAATGTCTCTGTCTCTCTCTCTCTCTCTCTCCCTCTCCCTCTCCCCCTCTCCCATCCTTTCTCTGAAATCAATAAAATCATATTTTAAAAATGGGTGTTGGATTTTGTCTAATGCTTTTCTGTGTCTACTGATATGATCATGTGATTTTTAGCTTTCATCTTATGTGATGTATCACATTTATTGATTTGTGAATATTGAACTAGCCTTGCATTCCTAAAACAAATCCCTCTGGGTCATAGTGGATGACCTTTTTAATATATTGCTGGATCCAATTTGCTAATATTTTGTTGAGGATTTTAGCATCTATGTTTATCAAGGAAATTGGCCTGTAATTCTCTTTGTAGTGTCTTTCCCTTCCTCCCTCCCTCCCTTCCTTGATTTATCTTTATTGTTGAAAGTATTACAAATGTCTCTCTTTTCCCCAGTTGATGCCCTCCAAGCTGCACTGCCCCCTCCAGGCCTTCATCACTATTGTCTGTGTCCATGGGTTATGCATATGTGCATATAAATTCTTAGGTTAATCTCTCCTCACCCACCCACTCCTGCCTTCCCTCTGAGATTCGTCAGTCTCTCCCCTGCTTCTGTGTCTCTGGATCTATTTTGTTCATCAGTTTATTTTGT